AGATACGAAGAGAAACTTGGTTTCGATGAATCTCCTGAGATGACATCGTACAAAAGCCAAACGGTTGTAGTACAACGAGTTTCATCTCTTCTCATGTTGTCAGATCGACCAACGAATCTCTTCTTCATGAACTTTCATTCGAAATGAAGGTCCCTCTAACATAGTTGGTCATTCTTTGTCAATTGTTTGTCCATCCCAGTCTATTGGCTCTTGCTGTGCCAGGATTCTTGACGGTATTTCAATTTCCATCTCCCACGTTGTCTCTTCTGCACATTTATCCGATATGTTATCAACTTACACAACAACATCATCAACGCTTCCCTCGTTGCCTAGCCAAAGCTTTGATGGCTTCTTCAGAAGATCCATCATTTCAGAATCCAGATGGATTGAGTATAATTTCTATGATACCGTATCCCTATCGTCCTCCGTGGAAGTTGATGCCTTCAATACAAACCATCCAAATGTGCCCTGGTCGGCTTGATCCTACGCTGACTTATGATCCCATATCTGAGCAATAGCTTGTCATGCCGCTTCCGGCCAGTCATATCCTGAAGTTTTGGGCAATCTTCCGCATGGATCCTTCTCATTCTAGACTCATTTTCTATCAACGCTGTCTCGTAACTTTCCTCTCATTTCTGGATGAAGCCGTGATGAAGTATTCCATTTACTGTGTTCGAATGCCACTTTGTCATTAGGTTGCAGAATCCGAGAGTGATGCAACGAGTCAAAAGGTCAAATGGCGTGAAACTGACCTAATGAAGAGGATACTTGAATGAGGCAGGATTAGCGAAAATGTGCGCAATGTCCAAGCGAATTTGGAGAAGCTCAGACAACGGGACGATGAACAAAAAACGAAGACGACTTGATCGAGGAAGAGAGTTGAACAGGAGCAAGAGTAATCACAGCGAGAAGGCCTCAGGGAAACTGTTAGAGGTCAAGAGAAGACGTCTACAGTATTGGTTTTGATGCACAAGAGACTAGGCTATAGGAAGCCATAGACTTGGTACCAGAGATGGAAGGACGATAGAACTGGTTGGCTATCCGTAGACGTGTTTGGTCACAAATGTGGCCTCTGAAGTGAATGTTTGACTATGAGAACTCCTCGTTGCATATGTCGAATGGTGATGAGGCAATATTCAATCTGATCTTCAATCCAGCTTGAGAATGTAGACTTTCAGGGGCTTGACTTGACGTACCATCAAAGGCTTGAGTTCAAGTGTACAGATAGGATGGCAGGAGTCGAGTCAAATCCCTAAACCACAGAGATAAGGGCGATATTCCATGTGGCAAGAGGGAGACTGTTATAGGACCAATGGGAAGAGGATTACAAACTAATATGTCAGATCCAGATCACAATTTCCAGTACAAAAGTGTGTGCGTGATGGGGGGACTGGGCGCGATAGAACGACATTTCGATAAGTTAGTAAGAAACTGTGATATCGAGGGTGTGATACGAGGATATGGAATATGTGAATAGTTGATGCCAGAAGAAGAGATAGCACAACTGTTTTGCCGACAATTGGTCAAAGGATCCACTTCACTTGTCTCTTTGACGAGTTGTAGCTGGAAATGATGCTAAGAATGGCATAGCACAAGTCCATGGTCCGACTCTGGAATGTGTCATGCATAATATGGACTCTGGACAGTCTTCCTGCCAATTTGACAGACTTTTGAAAACCATTTCAGACAACAACTATACCTCAAAAGTATACCGCTAATTTTAAAAATGTTCCGCCATCTTGGCCTTCAATCTTTCGGCTACAAAACAATATATTCATTTTTCGTATTTGAGTAGAGTTTCGAGACTACCAGTAAATCAGTAATATGAAATGTATTCACCCAATTTCGTTTTAAGGCGATGAAAGACTGGTAGGAGATTTTTCCGACAATGATATGAGTAGAGCTGACGTTTCCAGTAAATTTCACATAACCTTGCTTTCCCAAAAGTGCCAAACTCACATTGTGCACTGTCACGGTTCGACTCCCACTAAAGGTGTTGATAAGACCGATGCGGGGTCGAAACCGCAGTTCACTGGTGCCTTGATGAGAACAACTTTTGGGAAAACAAGGATATGTGAAATTAAATAGAAACGACAGGTCTACTCATATGATTTTGGGAAAATTCTACTACCAGTCGTTCATCCCCTTAAACGAAATAGGGTAAATTCATGTCATACAATATATTAATGTTCATATATATATTTTTTCATAGATTTATTTTTGGATGTTTAATGACAAGATTAACTCATTCCAACTTTACTCGCCGCCATCACTTGAGTTGTTTTTATATTATAAAGTTTGCCTAAAGTGGTAGTCTAAATTTGACTTTTTCAAACTCCCCAATTTTATGATTTATTCACATTTCCCTTTAATTTTCAGTCATCTTCCTGAATCCTCCGGCCTTAGTCAATCTCACGTCGAAGGCTTCAAGGAACCGCTGAAGAGGATTGGAGGGCCCTTGGCGGCTTGGCCTGGCCGACTATTCACCAGAAGAAAGTCCGATCAAAGGCAATATTTGGCAGAAAATGAGACTGACCCTTCAATCCGGAAGACGGTAGAAACCATTGAGTTGAGCTCATCGGGTCTAAAAATGGCATTTGGCGAGGCTAAAGGCAAAAAGTCTGAGATGAAAGCAAGTGACAAGGTGGAAGAAGTCATCTTCTCGAAAGAAAAATCCATTCCAAACGGCGCATGGCCCTACAGTCAGCTAATCAACTATGAATATGTATAAAGTCCTCGATACCGAAGCTCTTTGGCGCCAATGTATAAAATTATTTGATTAGATCAGGCGCGAAATGGTGGCTATTTGGTCTGAATATCCAGGCTTTCAATGTTGCTGCGAGTTTTCTGCTAAGAAAAGCTAATTTTGTAGATAATTGACAAAGTTAAAAAATTAAAATATTGGGTCTTTCTAGTAAAGCCTAAAGACATTCAATTTTTCGTTACCCACCCAGTCTCATGGCAGCTAATTTCACTGTTTTAACGTGAAGTACAGGCAAGAAAAATGTTTTTCGCCTACGTTGGTAAAGAAAAAAAATATTTTGAGGGGTGGCTCCAAACTAAAAAGAACCTGAAATTTTAGAAAGTTTCAAAGCTCGTCATCATAATTTGCCAAGAATTCGTGAACAAAAGTTTTCCTATTTTATCCACATTTTATGAGTCGGGCAATTACCTAAAAGACGTATTTCTCAGCTTTTTATTCCTAAGTTGTAAAATGTCTTATTCAAATCTACATTACCGATAAAATTAAGACCCCCTATTCTACGTTTATTCTTGCTCGGAGGCAATAAATCTGTCTTTCGTTGCGCTTAATGTCTTGCAGGCTCGAAGAAGTGGTATCCACAAAACCGATTTGTTAACCACATGAAATGCTACAACTTCCGTCGGTATGATCCATTTGTGGACGATAAGATTTGCGTGCGTTGCTTTGATCAAGACCCATCCGAAACCTGTAAGTGATAAAATCGGCAAAGATGTTTGCCAGCATTTGGTAGTATCCCTATTCAGGCACTCTATGCAAAGAACATGGGAACTCGGTCGAGCATAGCTCGGGTAGGGCGCAATCGAATCAAGAATCTCGAAAATCCTTCCCTACAACCAGCCGTCAGCTCATGGAGGCGACACATACGCCGGCATCTGATTTGTCTAGATCGGGTTGAAAGAGATTTTTGCTTCTCACCACATTTTTGGTGCTCATTTTGGGGCTGAGGTGAAGTTGCTACAGCAAATTGAACTTCATTAGCCTCATCATCGTCCTTGGCTCTAACTCGGTTCCAGCTGAAGAGCACATTTGGCAGCTCAGCTTACTGCAATTTATACTCAATTTTTGTGATTTTCACAATTATTACTCATTCTTGATAGAATATTAGTCAGCTCAGATAGCTTGAAATGAGGTAAATAAGGATAATTAAATTTTAATTAAATAATATTCACCATAGGTGAGTATGTTGCGAAACTATCCGGCACTTTTCCTAAGTTACTAAAAGTGATTTTTAAGTGTTGAAAATGGGGTTTATTTCATGATAAAATGAGAAGATGTCATGATGTCATAGAATTTCACTCAATTTGACTATCCAAATTATCTTATATTTCAGTCTGAACCTTTAGTTGTTAACTCCATTCTTCATCTCCTAAATCGAGCTTTATGGTGGAATAATCGCTGTGGCAAATATTTATTTGCCACTACAATTGATAACGTAACTTATAAATAAAATGATTTTATTGAATGTATTCATTCTATTTTGATTATGGTGACGACTGTTAGTTGAATTTTCACTCAATACTATGAATAGACTTTATATTTACTTAGAATTTCCCATAAACTTATTTTCCAAAAAGATATTCTCATCCAGGCAGGACTGGAATGTAGCTTCGATATCGCCTCGACTGGTATCACCACTGCCCTCTGCGGCACTCGAATCATGAAAGTTCAGCGTATAATTTTGACATGTTAACCACGAGGGCTCTTGGGTCACAGGACAGATGTGGATTTGAAGAAACACCAGGCTTATCCACATATCACATTCTGTAGTGGGATTGTCGATGAAACGAAATTGTATTTTCAATAACAACTGACTGCATTAATTATATTTCGTTTAGAAGTAGGTTTATCAAGACTACTAGCATCTCATATTACTGATTTACTGGTAGTCTCGAAAACCTTCTTAGAAAAGAACCATTAAAACTATGTTTCAAAACTATCATGATTTCTTGAATAAGAACATATTCATCTAGTCGAATATACTGGCAAAAACAAGTTTCCTCATCAGTAATCTCACTCTAAAATGTGATATTGGAGAAGATTGGCTTGCGTCCCAACTAATGTGAACTGAAACTGGCTTCCGACAATGTAGTATATACAAAAGAGAAAGTGATTTTGGATAAAACTCTTTATATTTAAATTTTTGAGGTCACCTCTACTTCATGTTAAAGAATATGATACAGAGGAAAGGTGAGCCCAAACAGAAGACAAAGGCTTGTTCATATGCTTACTCTATCCGGGAATTTACACAAAAAATGTCATCAACTTAACCAGAAGTGCATCCGGGAATACGTAATCCAGATAATGATTATAAAAGAGTAACTAGAACTTAATACCTAAAACCAAAATTTGCATTTTTCTTTAATACCATGGTGACTTCAATTCAGACTTCGTATCTTTTCTTATACAATAGCACAATAACCCATATTAACATATGCTTCTAGATTGGTATAGAATAAGAACTAACCAAAACTACTTATCTATCTATATATCGTTAAATATAAATATAAATATAAATATATATATGGATAGATTGATAGATAGATAGGTAGATTGATCGATAGATGGATATATAGTTATAAAGATAGATAGATAGGTAGGTGGGTAGGTAGGTAGGTAGGTAGATAGATAGTTTCGTTTAGTTCTTTTTATATGCCAATTTAAAGAATATGTGCATATGTGCTATTGTATAGGAAAATATACGAAGTATAAATTGAAGACGCCATAGTATTAAAATAAAATTCAACTTTTGGTTTCAGGTGTCAAGTTCTAGTTGCTCTTTTATAATCATTATCTGGATTATGTATTGCCGGATGCACTTCTAGCTAAGTTGGTGACAATTTCTGTGTAAAGTTTGGGATATAGTAAGCGTATAAGCAGGCTTTTGTCTGCTGTCGGGGCTGACCTTTCTATCTATCTATCTACTTATAGATAGATAGATAGATGGAAGGATAGATAGATAGATAGATATATAGGTAGGTAGGTAGATGGATTAATAGGTAGATAGATAGCTAGGTCAGTTGATAGGTATATATATAGAGAGACAGACAGACAGAGAGAGAGAGAGGTAGATAGATAGAGAGGCTGTCTCTAGTACCTTTTCAACTGAAAGGTATAATTACAGTCAACCGACAACTGGGCAGAGGTAATCCGCCATATTCTTGTAATTGTATCGAATAAAGAGTTTCTTCACGACACAATTTCACTCGAAACGAAAACCAATAAATTCCTTAAAATAATGCCAAAAAAGTCAAAATACCGCATCAATAAGCGACAGAGGATAAAGGCTATTCTGGACGCAGGAGTCTTGAAGGACCAGAAGCTGTCAGTTATACCGCCCCATCTTCCCTCGTACGAAAACAAGGTCCACGGTCGAGGAAATACAACAGCAAAAATCCGAAGCAACTTTGATACGGAAACAGGGGGTCTCGCCAAGCCATGCAACTGCGGCAAAAAAAAACAATTTCTAACCACACAATCATGATACAGGAACAAGAATCTCCTGTATTCAGGAAACCGGCGTCGAAGAAGATCTTTGTCCCTTCCCAGCTTATCCATGCTTTGTGTAAAATATGGATTAATAAGCAGCAATATTAGATAGATGAGGAAAACGTTAAAATCTGTATGTCAAGCAGGTGCAAAAATGACAGCAGGATCTTGAGAAAATTAAAAGACGACAAAATCGGGCATGACATTAAAAGTCTGAGTAGAATAAATACTGTGTCCTGGGTCCGCGTAAAATTAGGCAACCAGTGACCTTAGAACTGGATCTTCGAGATAGAAACTTGCCAGAGTCTGGTTGAGTGGTTGGAAAACTGAAAAAGCCAAGTCTTTTTGTCCTGAGTAGAGATTGTCGGGAATAAGCCAATATTGTGT